AATATTTGACAAAGGCCCAAAGTCCATTAATTGGGGAAAAGACAGTCTCTTTAACAAATGGTGCTGGCATAATTGGATATCTATATGCAAAAAGCTGAAACAAGACCCATATCTCACACCATGTACAAAAACTAACTCAAAATGGATCAAAGACTTAAATATAAAATTGAAAACGATAAAGATCATGGAAGAAAAAAAATAGGGGCAACGCTAGGAGCCCTAATACATTGCATGAACTCAATATGAACCGTAAGAAACAATGCACAAGCAACAGAAGGGAGACTAGATAAATGGGAGCTCCTAAAAATCAAACACTTACACTCATTAAAAGACTTCACTACACGAGTCAAAAGACAATCTACAGACTGGGGAAAAAATTTTGACTATGACAAATCCGATCAGCGTTTAATCTCTAAAATCTACAAGATACTGCAAAACTTCTACAACAGAAAGACAAATAACCCAATTAAAAAATGGACAAAGGATATGAACAGTCACTTTACCAAAGATATTCAGGCGGCCAGCAGACACATGAAGAAATGCTCACAATCATTAGCCATTAGAGAATTGCAGATCAAAACTACAATGAGATATCATCTCACCGGAACAAGGCTAGCATTAATCCAAAAAACACAAAATAACAAATGCTGGAGAGGTTGTGGAGAGACTGGAACACTTATACAGTGTTGGTGGGAATGTAAAATGATACAACCACTTTGGAAATCGATTTGGCGCTTCCTTAAAAAGCTAGAAATAGAAGTACCATACAATCCGGCTATCCCACTCCTTGGAATATATCCTAGAGAAACAAGAGCCGTCACACGAATAGATATACACATACCCAAGTTCATTGAAGCACTGTTCACAGTAGCAAAAAGATGGAAGCAACCTAGGTGCCCATCAATGGACGAATAGATAAACAAACTATGGTATAGCCACACAATGGAATATTATACAATGATAAAGAACAATGATGAAGCTGTGAAACATCGTATAACATGGTGGAAGCTGGAACTTATTATGCTGAGTCAATTTAGTCAGTCACAGAAGGACAAATACTGTATAAGACCACTAGTATAAGAACTCAAGAAAAGGTTTAAACACAGAAGAAAACATTCTTTGATGGTTACGGGGCTGGGGAGGGAGGGTG